GCCTGCCCTATGACTGCAAACAGATAACAGAAAGAAAATAAAGTTGGAGCTCCTGGTACAACTGTACCAGCACAAAACCCATTATCTGGATTGGCATAGATCTGGAATTTCCATTGAAACACATTATCTGGATTTGCATTGAATCAAAGAATCCTAGAGTCATAGAGTTGGAAGAGACCTCCTGGGCCATCCTCCAGTTCAACCCCATTCTGTCAAGAAGCAGGAATATTGCATTCAAAGCACCCCTGGCAGATGGCCATCCAGCCTCTGTTTCAAAGCTTCCAAAGAAGGAGCCTCCACCACACTCCGGGGCAGAGAGTTCCACTGCTGAACGGCTCTCACAGTCAGGAAGTTCTTCCTCATGTTCAGATGGAATCTCCTCTCTTGAAGCCATTGTTCCATTGCGTCCTAGTCTCCAGGGAAGCAGAAAGGAAGCTTGCTCCCTCCTCCTCCCTGGGGCTTCCTCTCACATATTTATACATGGCTCCCATCATGTCTCCTCTCAGCCCTCTCTTCTTCAGGCTACACATTGCCCAGCACCTTAAGCCGCTCCTCATAGGGCTTGTTCTCCAGACCCTTGATCATTTTAGTCGCCCTCCTCTTGACACATTCCAGCTTAGAGTCAATATCTCTCTTCAATTGTGGTGCCCACAATTGGACACAATATTCCAGGTGTGGTCTAACCAAGGCAGAATAGAGCATCCCTAGATCTAGACACTAGGCTCCTGTTGATGCAGGTCAAAATCCCATTGCCTTTTTTTGCCACCACATCACATTCATCCATGTTTAACTTGTTGTCCATGAGGACTCCAAGATCTTTTTCACACGTACTGCTCTCGAGCCAGGCATTGTCCCCCATTCTGTATCTCCTAATCTCCATAATCCACTCAAGAACGCATTGTTTCCCCCTTGTCCCGCCTCCCTCTCTCCTGATTCGTTGAGGCGCCAGAAGCCCAACGATTGAGGCGCTCAGGAGGCGGTCAAGCCTCCTCCCAGTTGTAGAGGCGCCAGCCAATCACCATCAAGCTGGAAGGGGGGCGGGGAGCGGGAAATTCAAATCTGACAACTCTGTTACTGTATAAAAAATGCTTTTATTTGTGTACATGTTATGCTTAGCTTGGCGAAATTCCTCCTCGACTTCAATACCAATCTGTATTTCAATTGAAGCTCATCATCAGGATTTGCACTGATCAGGAATCCCCATTGAAACCCATTGCCTGGATTTCCATTTGCAATGCCTTTCTTTTTCCGACGCAGACGGACTCAACCGCCAACCATTTCCATTTGGGTTGTTTTCCCCCTCCTTTGAAGAATATGCAAATGCCGCGACGTGAGTATTATTAAAACTAATTAAAAACTAAATGCCACATCAAGATAAATTAACAAAGCGCGCTCCCCTTGACGTGCCTCCTCCTCTCCCTCGCCGTCCCGTTTGTGGCCAACGAATTGGGGTAAACAAACGCACAAACACACAAACAAACTCCGGGGAGCGATTGCCACTGAAATTAATTAGGCACGTTTACAAAAAAAAGGGAAAAAAGGGGGAATTCCAACCTAGGAACATTCAACAGCAACCTCCTTCCTTCACTGGAGGTGTCTAAGTAGAGGGTGGATGGCCATCTGTTGGGAGGAATTAAATTGGGTCTCCCTTTATGACAGAAGGGGGTGGACTGAATGGCCTTTGGGGTTCCCTTCTAACTCTAGGATCATCCATTGTGTCTTCCTGTCTGGCAGAACAATCTTGGACTAAATGGGCTTTATGGTCTCTTCCAAGCCAGGAGACTGGATGGTCATCTGTCGGGAGGGATTGGATGGTGTCTTCCTACCTAGCAGAAGAAGGTTGGACTACTTTCAGTTCCGTTCCACCTTTCCATGGGCTGAATTCCCAAGGCCACGTTTTAGTTCTCTCTTCAAATTCTTTTCGATGCTTAATGAAGCTTCGCAAGATGCTGAACCATCTGTGGAACTAATGCAGTTAGACAACCTTTGAACTGCCAAGGCTCAATGCGATGGATTGACGGGAGGCCGAATCTGTGTTTCTTTAAACTGCGGATACGGAAACCCCTCGGGCCCCCGTATCCGCGAGTTTCCCAAGGCCTTGGGCTTTCTCTGCTTCACCAAACTATGTCTCCCGGGATCGCACAGCTCGTGGGCCGTATACGGCACCTTTAGCACTCCAACACCACCTCAACCAGGGACTCTCTGCAACCTCGAGCTCCCTCCTTTTGCTTTTTCCGCCGCACAAACATTGTAACCAAACCCCTAATAAAGACTAATTGAATTGTAACCTTCCCCTCTCCATAGTGATACAGTGTGTCTATTTCTTGACTCAAAAGTATCTAATGCAGGAACTTCCAGGCGTCCCAGGGAGGCCGAATCTGTGTTTCTTCAAACCGCGGATACGGAAACCCCTCGGGGGCCCCGTATCCGCGAGTTAATCAAACAACGATATTTTTCTTAGCCTAATTTTGCCATCTCACTTTTTGCACTTCGGGCTCCTGCGCTCTGGGAATAACCTTTTGTTTTTTAAGAATATATTTAAAGGAAAACAGCTGATTGTCAAACTAGGCTTCTTGCTACTGCGCTGCTCCCGCCATCGCTTCTTTGTCCTTTTGGAGCCCCAGGACCCGGGGAACTTGAGCCTTAACTCTTGGTTGGACTGGATGGCCCATGAGGTCTCTTCCAACTCTAGGATTCTATGATTCTATGAAAGACAAAAGGGAAGGAAGGAAGGAAGGAGAAAGAATCCCAGAATCCTAGAGTTGGAAGAGACCTCCTGGTACTTTGCTTATCAGCCCAGTTACAAATAAGATTGGAAGTAGTTTCTCTGGGACAACACAGGGCATCTGAGATGTGGTGGTCCCTTCCAACTCCAGCAATCTATGATTCTATCTATCAATCAACCTATTTTAATCAGAGGCTGGATGGCCATCTGCTGGGAGGGCCTTGATGGTGACTTCCATTACGGCAAAAAGAAGATGGACTGGATGGCCTTTGGGGGTCCCTTCCAACTCTAGCAAGCTATGATTCTTTCTATCATATATCTATCTATTTTAATCAGAGGCTGGGTGGCCAACTCCAGCAATCTAGGATTCAATCTATTTATCTCTGGAAATAATCAATCAGCGGCTAGATGGTCATCTGCCGGGAGGGATTTGATGGTGTTATAGCAAAAAGAGGTTGGACTGGATGGCCTTTGGGGCCCCCTTCCACCTCCAGCCATCCATGAATTTTTCTATCATATATCTATCTATTTTAATCAGAGGCTGGGTGGCCATCTGCCGGGAGGGCTTTGGTGGTGTCTTCTGTTAGGGCAGAAAGAAGATGGACTGGACAGAATTTGGAGGGAACCCTTCCAACTCCAGCTATCTATGATTCTATCTATTAATTTCTCAAAATTTTTCATCAGAGGCTGGATGGCCATCTGCCGGGAGGGCTTTGGTGGGGCCTTCCGTTAGGGCAGAAAGAAGATGGACTAGATGACATTTGGGGGTCCCTTCCACCTCCAGCAATCTATGATTCTATCATCTATCTATCTATTTTAATCAGATGATTCTATCATCTATCTATCTATTTGAATCAGAAGCTGGATGGCCATCTGCCAGGAGGGATTTGATGGTGTTATAACAAAAAGAGGTTGGACAAGGATGGCCTTTTGGGGGCCCCTTCCACCTCCAGCAATCTATGATTCTATCTATTCAGCCCTAGATCAATCCGACCCCCGTTCAGTCAACGAATGAATCAGGCACATCTAATCACCTCTCAACAAAAGATTCCCCCAGGCACTGCCAAGCCATCAAATGTTAATCAAGGTGGTCAGTGGAAACATTCACACCTAGCTCCAGCAGACAAGAGTCCTTTGTCCCACCCTGGTCATCATTCCACAGATATGTAAACCCATTTTCCTACTTCCAACTACAATGAATGAATCAGGCACATCTAATCACCTCTCAACAAAAGTTTGCCCCAGGCACTGCCAGGCCACCAAATGCTAATCAAGGTGGTCAGTTGAAACATTCCCACCTCGCTCCAGCAGACAAGAGTCCTTTGTCCCACCCTGGACATTATTCCACAGATATATAAACCCTTTTTCCTACTTCCAACAGACCTCACGACCTCTGAGGATGCTTGCCATAGATGGAGGCGAAACGTCAGGAGAGAATGCCTCTAGACCATGGCCATATAGCCCGAAAAAAACCTACAACAACCCAATCAGGGACATCTAACCACCACCCAACAAAAGATTGCTCCAGGCACTGCCAAGTCATCAAATGCTAATCAAGGTGGTCAGTTGAAACGTTCAGCCCTAGCTCCAGCAGACAAGAGTCCTTTGTCCCACCCTGGTCATTCCACAGATATGTAAACCTATTTTCCTACTTCCAATTACAACGAATGAATCAGGCACATCTAATCACCTCTCAACAAAAGATTCCCCCAGGCACTGCCAGGCCATCAAATGCTAATCAAGGTGGTCAGCTGAAACATTCACACCTAGCTCCAGCAGACAAGAGTCCTTTGTCATTCCACAGATATATAAATCCAATGTTCCTAGTTTCCAATAGACCTCACTACCTCTGAGGATGCTTGCCATAGATGCAGGTGAAACGTCAGGAGAGAATGCCTCTAGACCATGGCCATACAGCCCGAAAAAACCTACAACAACCCAATCAGGGACATCTAACCACCTCCCAACAAAGGATTCCCCCAGGCACTGCCAAGCCATCAAATGCTAATCAAGGTGGTCAGTTGAAACATTCACACCTTGCTCCAACAGACAAGAGTCCTTTGTCCCACCCAAATATATAAACTCTTTTTCCTAGTTCCAACAGACCTCACTACCTCTGAGGATGCTTGCCATAGATGGAGGCGAAACGTCAGGAGAGAATGCCTCTAGGACATGGCCATATAGCCCAGAAAATAGGACAACAACCCAGCTTTGTAATGGACGCATTGATTTTGGGTGAAATCAGGAGGAGAATGAGAATGGGGAGGAAGCTTACCTGGTTTTTGGGGACGTTGTGAGCCACTCATCGTGCTTCTCGAAGGTTATTAGGTAGGCAGCAATTTCCTGCAAAACAAGAAGAGACTTCGTTAACGGTGATTGATTAGATATAAATTATTATTATTATTATTATTATTATTATTATTATTATTATTATTATTATTATGTGGCCCACATGGGGGGTTCTGTGTGGGAGGTTTGGCCCAATTCCATCGTTGGTGGGGTTCAGAATGCTCTGTGATTGTAGGTGAACTATAAATCCCAGCAACTACAACTCCCAAATGTCAACATTCTATTTTCCCCAAACTCCACCAGTGTTCACAATTGGGCATATTGAGTATTCGTGTAGAGTTTGGTCCAGATCCATCACTGTTTGAGTCCACAGTGATATCTGGATATAGGTGTACTACAACTCCCAAACTCAAGGTCCAAGCTCACCAAACCCTTCTAGTATTATTCTGTTGGTCATGGGAGAACTGTATGCCAGGTTTGGTTCAATTCCATCGTTGGTGGGGTTCAGAATGCTCTTTGATTGTAGGTGAACTATAAATCCCAGCAACTACAACTCCCAAATGTTAAGATTCTATTTTCCCCAAACTCCACCAGTGTTCACATTTGGGCATATTGACTCTTCGTGTAGAGTTTGGTCCAGATGCATCATTGTATGAATCCACAATCATCTTTGGATGTAGGTGAACTACAATTCCCAAACTCAAGGTCAATGCCCACCAAACCCCAAAACCAAAGGACCCTGCCCACCAAACCCTTCCAGTATTTTCTGTTGGTCGTGGGAGTTGTGTGTGCCAAGTTTGGTCCAATTCCATCATTGGTGGGGTTCAGAATGCTCTGTGATTGTAGGTGAACTATAAATCCCAGCAACTACAACACCCAGTGTTCACATTTGGGCATATTGAGTCTTCGTGTAGAGTTTGGTCCAGATCCATCATTGTTTGAATCCACAGTCATCTTTGGATGTAGGTGAACTACAATTCCCAAACTCAAGGACACTGCCCACCAAACCCTTCCAGTCAAGGTCTATTTCCCTTAAACTCCATCTGTGTTTATATTTGCGCATATGGAATATTCGTGCCAAGTTTGGTCCAGATCCATCATTGTTTGAGTCCACAGTGCTCTCTAGATATAGGTGAACTACAACTCCCAAAATCAAGGCCAAAGCCCATCAATGCCCATGTTGGTCATGGGAGAACTGTGTGCCAAGTCTGGTCCAATTCTGTCATTGGTGGGGTTCAGAATGCTCTTTGATTGTAGGTGAACTATAAATCCCAGCAACTACAACTCCCAAATGACAAAATCAATTTCTTTTTTTAGTGCAGGACATAGATTGCCTTGAATGGTGTCTTGTGTCCAAATTTGGAGTCAATTCGTCCAGTGGTTTTTGAGTTATGTTCATCCCACAAACGAACATGACCTTTTTATTTATATAGATAAGTAAAAAGCATCTAAGTAAAAAGCACTTTAAAGGAATAGGTAAATCCAATTAGGTAAGAAGATAAGCATGAACATTGTAAATTTTTTTTGCTTTTTAAGTCTCTTCCGCTGTGTTTTTCAGTGTTTTTATGAGTGATGGTCACGCATTGGCCCGAGAGGCGTCTTGTGTCCAAATTTGGTGTCGATTCGTCCAGTGGTTTTTGAGTTCTGTTAATCTCACAAACAAACATTTTTATTTCTATAGATTTTTTTTTTTTTGGTCGTGTCAGGAGCGACTTGAGAAACTGCAAGTCGCTTCTGGTGTGAGAGAAATGGCCGTCTGCAAGGACGTTGCCCAGGGGACGTTGCCCGGATGATTTGATGTTTTTACCATCCCTGTGGGAGGCTTCTCTCATGCCCCCTTTGCATGAGGAGCTGGAGCTGACAGAGGGAGCTCACCCGCACTCTCTGACAGAGGGCGCTCACAGCTCACCCGCCACCATTTATATAGATTATCGTAGACTACATGATTGTAATTATTTATTTTTTACAATTTATTATTATTATTTTTATGTATATAGATATTATTCTATCGAATACTGTATTCTACCTCATGATTGAATTATTATGTATTATTAGACCAAATGATTCATTTTACACTAAGCAAAGGGAAAGATTTGCCCTTGACATTAAGTCTATTATTATTATTATTATTATTATTATTATTATTATTATTATTATTATTATCATCTCTATATATAAAAACGCTCTCTGCGTCATGAGTACCTTAAAAACAAATTGGATTTACCTATTCCTTTAAAGTGCTTTTTACTTATCTGTATAAATAAAAATGTCATGTTCGTTTGTGGGATTTGCAGAACTCAAAAACCAGTGGGCCAATTGACACCAAATTCGGACACAAGACACCTAACAACCCAATGTATGTCCTTCACTCAAAAAAAAATTGATTTTGTCATTTGGGAGTTGTAGTTGCTGGGATTTATAGTTCACCTACAATCAAAGAGCATTCTGAACCCACCAATGATGGAATTGAACCAAACTTGGCACATAGAATTCCCATGACCAACAGAACACACTGGAAGGGTTTGGTGGGCATTGACCTTGAGTTTGGGAGTTGTAGTTCACCTACATCCAGAGAGCACTGTGGACTCAAACAATTCACCTACAATCCAAGAACATTCTGAACTCCATCAACGATGGAATTGAACCAGACTTGGCACACAGGACTCCCATGACCAACACACAACACTAGAAGGGTTTGGTGGGCATTGACCTTGAGTTTGGGAGTTGTAGTTCACCTACATCCAGAGAGCACTGTGGACTCAAACAATTCACCTACAATCCAAGAACATTCTGAACTCCATCAACGATGGAATTGAACCAGACTTGGCACACAGGACTCCCATGACCAACACACAACACTAGAAGGGTTTGGTGGGCATTGACCTTGAGTTTGGGAGTTGTAGTTCACCTACATCCAGAGAGCACTGTGGACTCAAACAATTCACCTACAATCCAAGAACATTCTGAACTCCATCAACGATGGAATTGAACCAGACTTGGCACACAGGACTCCCATGACCAACACACAACACTAGAAGGGTTTGGTGGGCATTGACCTTGAGTTTGGGAGTTGTAGTTCACCTACATCCAGAGAGCACTGTGGACTCAAACAATGATGGATCTGGACCAAACTTGGCACAAGCACTCAATACACCTAAATATGAACAATGGTGGAGTTTGGGGGAAATAGACCTTGACATTTGGGAGTTGTAGTCACTGGGATTCACAGTTCACCTACAAAGAGCATTCTGAACCATGCGAACGACAGAATCGGGGCAAACTTCCCACACTGAACCCCCATGAACATCAGAAAATACTTAAGGCCACCTAATCCAACTCCCTTCATCAGGGCAAGAAAACGTCATCAAAGCCCTCCCGACAAAGAGCCATCCAACCATAGATAGATAGAGAGAGTTGTGGTTGCTGGGATTTATAGTTCATCTACAATCAAATACCATGATAGAATTGAGCCAACCAGGACATACAGGACTCCCATGACCAACAGAAAGCACTAGAAAGGTTTGGTGAGCATTGACCTTGGGTTTGGGAGTTGTAGTTCACCTACATCCAGAGATCATTGTGGACTCAAACAATGATGGATCTGGACCAAACTTGGCACAAATACTCCATATGCCCAAATGTGAACACTGGTGGAGTTTGGGGAAAATAGAATCTTGACACCACACCCAAGATGGCAGATCACCTGCCGAAGCGTTTGGTCACACCCAAGATGGTGGATTTGCGTCACCACGTCGAGTGTCTCATTCCACTCAGTGGCTCATAGCAGGAGGAGCACTCCCGTGGCCGCCATCTTGGGTGTGCAACTTTACCTGTTGTGTCGTTTGGTCACGCCCAAGATGGCGGATTCGCATCACCACGTCGAACGTCTCATTCTCTTTAGTGGCTTATAGCAGGAGGAGGACTCCCGTGGCCGCCATCTTGGGTGTGTCACTCTCTTTGACTGGGCTTCCTCACACCCAAGATGGCGGATTAACGTCACCACGTCGGGCGTCTCATTCCCCTCAGTGGCTCATAGCAGGAGGAGGACTCCCGTAGCCGCCATCTTGGGTGTGCAACTTTACCTGTTGTGTCGTTTGGTCACGCCCAAGATGGCGGATGAACGTCACCACGTTGAGCGTCTCATTCCCCTCAATGGCCTGACAGAAAAAGAGTGTTGTTGTTGTGCCGCCGCAGCCTTGCCATGAGAGGAGGTCTCCCAACCATAGTAATACCTTATGGGTTTGAAAGGACTACAACTCCCAGTGTGCACCGCGGCAGAGGAGGGCCGCTTTTGGGTGACGGCGTGCCGCATGTCCTCATGGGGCTTGTAGTTCACATGCCGTCCTTTGGTTTCCTTGGTTTCCTCTCACTTCGCTTTCCTCACTAAGACTGAACTACAAAATGGCTCCCTCTTCCCATCTCCCTGGGAGAAGGGGTGGGTCCAAACTGAACAATGATAAACAGGTGGCTTGCCCTATGACTGCAAACCAAGGGAAGCCACCCTTTTGCAGAATCCCTGAAGCCTTGGAAGGCATGCAGGGAATGCGGAAGTGCTTACTCAGCGTCGCAGATGGACGACGAAAGCGACAGCTCCCCTTGCGGCCAGAAAAAAAGTTAAATAGCTTCTGTGTATGTCTGTACATGTTTGTATGTCCAAAATTGACATGGAATGTTTGCCATATATGTGTACACGGTAATCCGCCCTGAGTCCCCTGCGGGGTGAGGAGAAGGGCCGAATAGAAAAGCTGTCAATAAATAAATAAACATGAAAACATTATGCTCTCACCAACATGAAAGCATTGCGATGACCTTTCCCTGAGCTGGCTTCTCGTCTACCATATGTTTGTATGTCAAAAATTGGCATCCCAGTGTTCCTGACTCTCTCCATTGGTGTGGAATTTGCATGACCCTGCCTCTCCCTTAACCCTTTCCGGCCCTTTCCTATGGTGCACAGCAAACAGAGAGGAATTCATCAGCAGCTGCTCATACTGGAGGGGTTTGGGGGGCTGACTCAACATCATGGAAGCTGTAGTTCACCCTGCATCAAGACCGAG